GAATGACTTGAACCCGGGAGGCAGAGGTTGCAGTGAACCGAGATCACACCACTGCACTCCAGCCCGGACAACAGGCAAGACTGTCTCAAAAAAAACCACTCTGGACCAGGCTCAGTGGCTCATGCCTAATCCCAACATTTTGGGAGGCCGAGGCAGAAGGATCACGAGCTTAGCCATTCAAAACCAGCACGGACAACATGGCAAGACCACATCTCTATAAAAATAACAAAATTAGCTGGGCATGGTGTCATGCACCTGTAATCTCAACTATTTGGGAGGATGGCTTGAGCAAAGGAGGTCGAGGCTGTGGTGAGCTCTGCTGTCCAGCCTGGGCAGCAAAGTGGGACCTTGACTAAAAAAAAGAAGTGTGTCCTCAGCTCCACCCTGCTGTGTTTCCTGAGAATCTCCAAGCTGGTACAAACCTGTTGGATGAGCCAAGCTTGAAAGCATCCCCGCTCAGGTACACAGCCCCCAAAGGTCAGAGTCACAGGCTGGGGGCCCCGTGGGGTCTGAAACAGCTGAAGTACACCCTACATTACATGACTCCCATCACTCCAGAGGTCATTCCTGACAGCATGCCCAGGTCCCGACGGCCACATCTCAGCAAACGCACCAGCCTAAGTGTGGGGCTGTGCTGCCCTCTCACTGGGTTACTGGACACTCTGCCCTCTCCAAGCGGGAGCGATTTGGGGGCACCAAGCAGAATTCATCTTCTGCTCAGGTAGTAGGGTGAGGGTCACGTGCTATGATCCTCCTGAGCCCAGCAGCAGAATAATTAATCTGAGCACGCAGGCCCTGGACCTCTTAACGCTTTGTGATCTGGTACAGGGAGTATATTTTGGCTGTTTAAAATCAATTTAGGGGGCGGGTGTGGTGGCTCATGCCTGTAATCCCAGCACTTTGGGAGGCTGAGGCAAGAGAATCACTTGAGCTCAAGAATTGGAGACCAGCCTTGGCAACATGACAAAACTCAATCTCTACAAACATTAACTGGGCATGGTGGCACACACCAGTAGTCCCAGCTTCGCTGGAGGCTGGGGCAGGAGGATCACTTTGGCCCCGGAGGTCGAGACTGCAGTGAGCTGTGATCACATGGGGCACTCCAGCCTGGGCAAAAGCCTGTCTCCAAAATAAATAACTGGCTCTATGGACATAGCAGGATTAGTGTCCCGTGTGCTGTTTAATGGGGCCAGGGTTTGAGCACAGCTGGCTTCACTCGCCCAGGCCCTTAGCTGGCTTCTTTAGCGTCTTTACAGTTAACCTGCTCTACCCAAGGTCCCTCTAGCTGACCCAGCAGCAAGGCCCCAGCTGTTGGTGCCATCTGTCCTAGGCTGGGGGACCTGTGTGTATGGCCGGGTGTACGCAGACCCCTGGACCAGGCACTGGGTTGGGCTCATCTTGCCCCATGACTGATCACTGGGGTAGGACAGGGTCCCCCAAGACCTCTCTTCAAATCAGTGCCCCTGTGATCTCAATAGGGGCCCCCTGGACAGCTGATTTGCCTCTTTTTAAAAATTGTAGTAAATGCATCTGACATAACAGCCGTCGCAGCCACTTCTGAGCGCACAGGCCACTGGTGTCACGGACGTTCACAGGCTCGTGCGGCCCTCACTACAATCCATCTCCGTAACTCACGCCGTCTTCCAGACAAACTCGTCCCTTCAACACCGGCTCCCACCCCTCCCCCAGCCCCTGGTAAACACCCTTCTGCTTTCTGTCTGTGAATCTGACCACTCCAGATAACACACAGAAGACAATCTTCTTTCTGTGCCGCCTGGTTTCGCCCAGCGTGACGACCTCTAGGTCCACCCACGTTGGTAGTGTGTGGCAGGATCTGCTTCCTTTCTGAGGCTGAATCATACTCCACGGACGGAGGGACCCTGTCTCGGTTATTCATCCATGGCGGGCTGACGCACAGTTGTGCTGCCTCCAGGTCTCAGCCGCTGTGAGTCACGCCGCTGTGCTCATAAATGCACAAACATCTCAGAAACCCTGTCTTCAGTTCTGTGTGTACCCAGAAGGGGACTTTGTACGCCAATTCCATGTTTAGTTTTTGGAGGAGCACCAAGCTCCTTCCCACAGCAGCTGCAGCGCATTCCCAAGAGTCCCCAGAGCACCCCAACTTCACCTCCCCGCCACACTTGCTGTCTTCTGGGCTTTTGCCATCCCAATGGAGGTGAGGTTTGCACCTTTTACTCTTTTGTTGTATTGTAGAGCTGGGGTCTTGCTAGGTTGCCCAGGCTGGTCTCAAACTCCTGGGCTCAAGCAGTCCTCCTGTCTCGGCCTCTCAAAGTGTTGGGGTTACAGACGTGAGCCACCACACCTGACTTACCAACTGTTTTCATAGCCTGTGGAGTTACAGAAACATTCTACCCCATGACTGATGGCTTGGGGGGCCCCTCCGGCCAGGGTCTCCACCAGACACAGGTCAGTCTCTGTTGTCCAGGCTGCTTTAGCAATCAATTCTTCTGCCTCAGCCTCCTGAGTAGCTGGGACCACAGGCATGGGCTACCATGCCCCATAACTGAATTTTTTTAATTTAACTAATTTTATTTATTTTAAATTGCTGCATGTGCCTTAGTTGTTACATCCCACACCTCCAGCATTGACTCTGGCGTGTCACTGTGGCTGCACCTCTGTGAGGCCTGGTCCGTGAGGCTGGCCCAGGCCCCATTAGAGGCCTGGGCAACCCAGGAGGATGTGGGAGCCGCACCCCTGCAGATGTCCTGGCCCGCACGGCTCTGAATCACCAGCAAAAAGGTCACAGACCAGGTCAGGCCTGCAAACCACCCGCTCACTGATCATGGCATGGGGACACCTGAGGCCATGCAGCATCTGCTCTCAGAGCTGTGGGCATCAAGACCACAGGTGAAGGCCAGAGAGATGCCTGAGGCATCCAGAAGACAGGTGCACCCACAGCTCCCACACCTGCCCAGCACCCCTGGTGCTGGTCCCGTGTCCTGGGAGGAGGCTGTGGGGCCAGTGTCCAGTGGGAGCTGATTCAGGCCTGAGGTCACCGTTGGCCACCTTGGTGCCCATGGCTGGGGCTTTCACCCTCAACCTGTGAGTAGGGTGCTGGCCAGAGGAGGCCTGCTGGACACCTCCCACCTGGCAAACGAAGTCAGTGGCCCCCTCATCCCTCCAGGGGGTCTCCACCTGCCTGACTCCTCTCCCCTCACTTCCCACAGCCTCCAGAGCCACCATGGGTGGGGTCCCTTTCAGGTTTGGCCTCAGTGCCTGCCTTATCTGCAAACCTCTTGGAACTGAGTCAGTCCCTTCCCTGCCTCCCTGGTGCCCACCCAGCCCTGCTGGCAGCGGGAAGGGTCACTTGCAGGCAGCGGCCACCCCGAACTTCCCAAAGCCTCTGCTCTGTCCCTGGAGGGCCCCAAGGAAGGACAGAAGACGAAGGGAGAGGCAGCGGGGTCCTGAGCAGCCCTTCTCAGGCAGCCTCCAGGGAGCTGTGCCCGCCCGAGTGTCCCCCCAGTGGACACTCACTGAGTGTCCCTCACCTGCCCAGTGGACTCCATTTGAATGCCGAGCTGGGGCAGCATGAGGTCCACAGAGCTGCCCACCCTCACACTTCCGTTACCCCAACCAGGAAAATCGAGGGCTCCATAGGACAGAGGGGTGTTTAAGGCGGGGCGAGCCGTGGGGGCAGTGGCAGGAGCCGACCACGGGGGGGTGGGAGTGGGAGTGGGAGTGGGTATCCGCAGGGCCCAGTAGCTGTGGCTTCCAGTTACCCCTACAGCATGTGAAGGCTGGGGTGGTGCGGGGTCTGGGAAGAGGCGGGCCTGTAGGCTGCTAGGAGGACGCCCAGACCAGTCCAGTGGACGGGTGTGTGGGGGGGCGCAGGGTCTTCCGGGAGGAGGGGCATGTCATGCAGGGTAGTGGCATAGGGATGTCCAGAAGGGGAGAGTGTGGTGGTGCTGGGGAGGGGGTGGGGACACTGGGGGTGTCAAGGAGTGGGGCACGTCAGGGTGTCGGGGAAGGGCGCCTGGGGGTGTCTGGGAGGGGGATGTGGAGGTGTCAGGGAGAGTAGGGGTGTCGGCCTGGAGTGGGGGCGTTTCGGGGTGTCAAGGAGGGCGTGCATGGGGATATGGGGAGGGGGCGCGTGGGGGTGTCGGAGAGGCCGAGGGGGTGGCTGTTGGGGAGGGGTTGAGGCCCCTCCCTCAGGTGGCCCCTGAGGAGGCTCCAGCGAGTCGTGACGGGCCGGCGGGAGCGGGGTGGTCTGGAACCCGCGGGAGCACGCGCTGGGCCTGGTCCCTGCCCTGAGCCCGTGGCCGCGGGAGGAGCCGGTTTCGGGGACTAGCTGGGCTCCGGGCCGTGTGCGGGGACCGAGCTGCCGGCCTGGGAGCGACGCGGGATTTCGCCGCCCAGCGCTACCCCGACCGGTCCCCGACGGTGGGGGTCGGGGCGGTGCCCGCGGGGGCTACGCTCTGGGGCGCGCGGGGACCAATTCTCGGGGCCGCCGGAAGGAAGGAGGCAGAGGGGCGCCGAAGTCTCCTAGCAAGGGCAGCGCACCGGGACGCGTCCCAGAGCCGGGGGCGGACGGACGCTTGGAGGCGGAGGCTTCGGTGACCCCAGGCCCGGGCTACAGCGGCCACCGGGTGGAGGGAGGGGACCGCGGCTGCCGGAGGCGGGGAGGCCTGAGCCTCGCTGTGGGGCCGCTGGGTGGGAGACAGGGGCCGCCCCGACCGCAGCAAGGGCCTGGGTGGGGGCCCAGGACGGAGGGGGTGTCTGACCCTGCTGCGTGGAGGCCAGGATGCCTTCGTACTTGGGGGGGTCGGAGGGGGCGGCTCAGGTGGAGTTGGTGGCCGGGAGCTGGGAAACTGGGAGGAGGGTCTCCGTGCAGAGCTGGGGGTGGGAGGGCTGAACGGCGTGCAGAAGGGGGCCCAGACCCCGGGGGCCCCCAGAAATTAGAAATGGAGAAGGGTAAGGCTGGGTGCTGGAACGTGTGCTGGTGCCGGCGTTTCACAAATCCACGCTTGTGGCGTTCCTCCTCATGCGAGGGATGCTTCTAGGCCTTTTTCCTGCCTGTCGAACGTTCTGTGTTGGAGGGTCATGGGGGGTGCTGTCTTTTGCTCCACTTTGAGGCACCGCCCACCGCAGCCCCCACCGTCACGGCCTCTGCTCCCACGTGGCAGGGCCGCCCCCACTGCCCCAGGGCTGGGCACCCGCCCCGGGGGCACCCTCGGAGCCAGCCCTGTGGCCGAAGGCATCCGGCCGTCGCCGCCCCTGGCCGGGACCCTCGGCGGACCCCGGTCTCTCCGGAGACGAGGTGCGGAGGCGTCTAGGCCGGCTTCCGGGCCCCTATCCCGCCTATTTCACGCCCAGACGCCCCGCCCCGCCAGCCTCCCGTTGAGGGCCCGGAGACCTAACTGGGCCGGTGCAGGGCCCAAGGAAGACCCGGGTCAGCGGCGGCGTGTTCCGTTCCCCGACCCCTCGCCTGGGACCCAGGTCGGCCGCCGAGCGCTTCCCCGCGGAGGTCCCGCCAGCGCCCACCTGTTTCTCAGCCTGGGAGGCTCGGGAGGCTGCGTCGGGCGTTACTGGGGGGCGAGGCCTGCGGGTCTATTAGATTCCGCGGGGCGGCGTGGGCGCGCGGGCGGCGGCGTCAGGCTGGGAGAGCCGGGGCGGACTCGGCCAGTGCCCCCGTGCGTCCGCGCAGGACCCGAGGACGCGTTCCCGGAGAGGAGACGGCGGAGGGCGCGGCGCGCGGGGCGGGAGTGTCGGGAGGGCCTCGCGCTCGGGGGACTCGGCCGCCTGCGCCCCGGCCCGGTGCTCTGCGGTCTGCTGACAGCAAAGGTGTGTCTGTTCGTCTCTGTGACGTCACCTGGTTTAAGGTGTACTTGGTCAGGAGCGGTTGACACTGAAAGTTTTCATTTTTAAAAGCCTCATCCTTAAGGAGTAACTTGTACTTGAGGGAGGTGAAAATGTGTGTTCTCCGCAGCTAGGTAACCTGCCCTACCCCGAAGCCAGCCCGCCCCACCTGCGCCCACTCCTGGCGCTGACCCCTGCAGGCCTCCCCGACGCAAGGCACTTGCTTTCCGGGTCTGTCGCACGCTCTCAGGTTATAGTTAAAACAGACTGGAAAATGCGCTTCCTTCGCAGAAACATTCGTGAGATTCTGCTCAGACTCGAGTTAACTGTTGATCCATTTCACCAGGTTGGCCTCCTTCCTGGGCCCCAGCCCAGATCCACAGGCCACCTTGTGGGGCTGTTTGGCACCAACCCTGTCCCTCCTTTTAGAAATTAGAAAACAGATGCCACCGAGGCAGGCCTGGGGATTCACCATGAGGAGCCTGACGGAGACCGAGCTCCCTGGGTGGGGCCCAGGCCTTTGCATATAATGGAGTCTACCTTTCCTGGCTGGAAGGTCGGGGAAGGGCGTCCTGGGAAGCAGCTTCTGGAAGGGAAGTGTGGGATGGGGCAGAAGGGAGTGAACTGAGCAGGGGTCAGGCCCACAGTGCCATTAACATTCCTGCCTTGAGCCACCTGGCTGGGCCCCATTCCAAACTTGACCTGGGAGGAGGAGGCGGTGGGGTTGCTGGTCACAGTCAGGTGAGAAGATCTGCCCAGGCCGGCCCTGCCCCAGCACGGCTGTCTTCACCTGTTACCGTGGGCAGGAGCTTGCCCTGTGGGTGGTGTGTGGAGCTGAATTCCCTTACCCTCTATGTCAGGGTTGAGTAAGGAGCTAAACCCTTGGCGCTCCCCGCATCCTCACAGCCTTGAGCACCGAGCAGGTCCGTGCCCTGGAGGGCGTCTTCCGGCACCACCATTACCTGGGCCCTCTGGAGCGGAAGAGGCTGGCCAGGGAGTTGCAGCTCTCAGAGGTCCAGGTGAGGTGGGCTGGGCAGACTAGGGTGGGCAAGGGTGGGCCAGTGGCCTCTTCTCACCCCTGCTGCCATCTTGGTTTTCCTGCAGGTAAAAATGTGGTTTCAGAATCGCCGGATGAAGCACAAACAGGAGGTGCAGGATGCCCAGCTCAACAGCTCCTTCTCGGGGTCTCTCCATGTGCCCCCGGCTCGCCTGGCCAGTGGCCTGCAGCTGCTGTGCCCCTGGGCACCCCTGCCCAGGCCCCAGGCTCTGATGCTGCCCCCAGGCTCCTTCTGGGGTCTCTGCCAAGTGGAACAAGAGGCCCTGGCCTCTGCCTGAGCTTCCTGCTGCGGGCAGCCCCTGGCATACTACCCCCCAAGCCCAGGATGTGGCGTGCAAACTCGGGGACCAGCCCTGTCCATGGGGCCTTGGGGCCTGTGTGCTCTGCCTCAGACGGGGGATGTGTTTTGAGGAAGTGCCTCCAACTCCACACCTAACACACGCTTGCACCTGGCACCTCCCTGGAGGACAGGGCTGCTCTGTTTACATCATGGTGGCACCTCTCACCCTGACCCACGCAAAGGTTCTGGAGAATATTAAAGCCACCTCTTGACTGAAAGATTTCAAAAGGGTCAGTTTAGGAAGTAAATGAAGGGTCACTGAAGAGTCAAATGCAGCAGTGGGCTCCTTATGGGTAGGGCTTTCAGCATATGGTAAAAGGATAATTTGTTTTTTAAAAAGTGTTGGAAAAACGGGTTTTCCAGTTAGAAAAAGTAAAGGTTGTAAGCTTTGTGTGTAAAAAAGCCACAGAGGATTGGAAGTGGGTGCAGGTGTCACATTTATAACCTTGTGGTGAGTCCCTCTTCGCAAGGACCTCAAAGCTGGAAAGCCAGAGAGAGCAAAGGTGAAAGTGAAGGTGGGTGCTGGGGCCCCTCAGTGAGCTCTGGGCTGTGTGAGCCGGGACTGCACCTGCAGCCTGCTGGAGGCTGCTCTTCTCCGGCCGGGGAAAGCCAGCAGCCGGGACCTGCCGCCATGCCTGGACTGAAGCTGTCCTGCTTGTCCCCACCCTCCAGCTGTGCTCGTCTGTCCCCCTCCTCACAGCAGCCTCGGGACAAAATGACTCAAGGACAACACTTCCTGCAGAAAGTCTAGACGTGCCCAGCATGGGAGGCACGGAAGCCTTCCCCGGGAGGACCGTCCCTCGTGGATGGACCATTCTGGGTGCAGACTCCTGACTGCACACACGACCTCAGACAAGCACGCATCGGTCCACGTTGCCCTGGAGTGCCTCGGAGGCAGGCAGCACAGGCACCCAGGTGGACGGGTTCAGCCTGCCGGACTGCGTGGCGACCTGTGAAACCTACCCAGGCATCCCACCAGAAACAACGTGGTCCTGTGGCCATGTCCACGGCAAGTGCCACTTTCCCATTGTGCATTTCTGCATTGCTGGAAGTGTTAGAACCAGCATGTGCTTTTATGATAGAACCCCAGGAAAGAGCAGAAGAGCTGCTGTGCGTCCTGGACAATGCTGATGTGTGGCTGTGGTTGGAGCCACGTTGTCCGTGATAAAAGCACATTTGCGCAGCCCCGCCCTCAGGAATCGCTTCCGGTCCCTGTGTGGCTCCAGCCACACACCATTCGGCCTTGGTCCCTTAACTCCCCTGTGAGTACGGCCCTGAGTCAGTGATGTCTTCAGGTCCTGCCACCACACTGGACCCTATAAGGCAGCAGCCCCTCGGGGCTGAGCTGGGCCTTCCTAGGGCCTGGATCGATCCTGCAGATGAGGAGCTCTGGAGGACAAAGTCCAGGAGGCAGAGGAGCGGGGTGGGCTCCACATGTCCAGCAGGGACCCAGACCCTGAGTTCCGGGGGTCCACAAGGCCCTGGGACCTAGGGAGGGCTCTGCCACCCAGAAATTACAAACCTCCCTTCCTGTTCCTCACCGGGCTGCAGTGGGAGTCAGCTTCGGGGATGTAAAGAAGGTCCCACAAGTGCACACCCCTCACTGTCCCCACGAGCACAGCCGCCCCCACGAGCACAGTGCCCCAGTTGCTCTTTGCCCCACCGCACTCAACATCCCCATGTGGGCATCTGACAGGCATCGGGGTACCCTGACCTTACTCCTCTCCCAGTCTGCTTCTCTGCAGCCAGCCTGGTACCCTCACCCTTGCCCGTCCATGTGCTGGGAGCAAGCCCATCCCTCACTCACAGTGCCAACCTCCAGGCAGATGTGAGGAGCCCAGACCGTGCTCCCAGGCACACTGGGGCAGAGGGCAGCTAGGCAGAGACACCTGCACATCCCGGACAGAGACAGGACGTGTTGTGCGTGTATGTGGGGTGGGGGGGACTGCCCATGTGTCGAGTGTGTGCATGTGGTGGGCTACTGTGTGCACACTGTGTGCATTTGTAGTGAATGTGTGCTGTGTTGTGTGTGTGTTGCACATATGTGTGCTGTGTGCATGTTGTGTGTTTCCCCCAAGCCCTGGACTCCCTTTGTCACCTCCACCTTATCCTCTGTAACCCAAGCAGCCATCAGGACCAGGAGGCTGAGGGCCCAGGTGTGGGTCCCATCAGGACAGAGAAGCTGAGGGCACAGGTGTGGGACCTGTCAGGATGGGGAGGCTGAGGGCACAGGTGTGGGACCTGTCAGGACAGGAGGCTGAGGGCCCAGGTGTGGGACCTGTCAGGACAGAGAAGCTGAGGGCGAAGGTGTGGGACCTGTCAGGATGGGGAGGCTGAGGGCACAGGTGTGGGACCTGTCAGGACAGGAGGCTGAGGGCCCAGGTGTGGGACCTGTCAGGACAGAGAAGCTGAGGGCGAAGGTGTGGGACCTGTCAGGATGGGGAGGCTGAGGGCACAGGTGTGGGACCTGTCAGGACAGGAGGCTGAGGGCCCAGGTGTGGGTCCCATCAGGACAGAGAAGCTGAGGGTGAAGGTGTGGGACCTGTCAGGACAGGAGGCTGAGGGCCCAGGTGTGGACAGGGAGCTCTGGCTGCCTGTGGACCAGCCCAGGGCTGTGCTGGATGCCGCCAACCTTCCTGCTCACCCTCCTTTCCCTATGAGCTGCTCGGCTGCCTGGGGACGAGGGTTATGCCAGCTCCCTTCCCGATGGACCAGGTTGGGGGTGCAGTCACTGTGAAATTTCCCCGAACGGAATCTCTGAGCCTCTGGCTGACAGGAACCCTCAGGGACCCAGTGGACTCAGCTGGGCTGCGGAAGCCTCCAGGACAGAGGGCGGGGTGGCCTTGATGCAGAGGCCGGGAGACACAGCCGCAGGCGACCAAGAAGTGTGGGAAAAGCACAGCCCTGCGGAGCTGCTGGGGAAGATTCCAAGGGGCTCACGGACGGTGCTGGGGAGGGGTCTGTGTCCCCAGGTGTGGACACCCTGTCTCCAGGGGCAGCACTCAGAGCCTCAGATCTGAACCTGACATTCAAATAATTCAAGAAACAGCTATAAACATGGCAAAACATTCACTGCTGAATCTGCGGGGAGTCTGTCCACCGGGCTTGAGCCTTACTCTTAGATTCTGCGCCTGAGACTGTCCGGGAAGCTGCAGGGAAGAGGCCGCTTGGACTCTGGGTGCCTCGCTGGCCCCAGCTTCTGTTTCGGGGCCCAGGACTCGATACCTTTCTGAGCCCAGATTTGTCGGCTCCGAGGCCGTGAGAGAGTGGCAGAGGCGGGTGGTCGGGAACCCTGGAGCAAAGTGGGCTTGCTGAACAAAAGCAGGCCTCAGCCACCCTTTGGCGGGGGTTGGCAGGGCCCTGCCCAAAGTCACCAGTAAAAGAATTACCTGAGCTGGGCACAGTGGCTCCCGCCTGTAATCCCAGCACTTTGGGAGGCCAAGGTGGGTGGATCACAAGGTCAGTTTGAAACCAGCCTGGCCAAGATGGTGAAAACCCCATCTCTACTAAAAATACAAAAATTATCCGGGAGTGGTGGTGGGCGCCTATAATCCCAGGCAGGAGAATCACTTGAGCCTGGAAGGCAGAGGGTACAGTGAGCTGAGATCGGGCCAGCGCACTCTAGCCTGGGCGACAGAGCAAGACACCGTCTCAAAAAAAAAAGGAAGAATTACCTGGGGGCACTGTCCAGAAATGCTGGCCCTCCTCCCATTGTCTCTGCAGCCTGGTGGGGAGGCTCTGTCACCCCCACCTCAGAAAGGTTCCATTCATGCCCCAGAATGATGGTCAGCTTCTCAGGGGCCTCCTGAGGCTCCTGAGTGCTCCCCAAAGCAGGGTCTCAGGGGGCCTCCCCTTTCTCCCACGCCAGGAAGACCCTCATTCCCAGCCTGACTGTCCGCAGAAGCCATGGTGTGACATGGGGCAGGCTCCCCCGAGGTGCCCCTTGGCCCCACCCACCGTTCATGGGACAAGGGCCTCAGGACTGGGGCCTATGGTCAGGAGGCCTGCGTGTCCAGGTGCCTCCCAGTCCTGTCCTGGTCCCCGATGCCCTCAGCAGGGTCTCAGCGGGCTGGACCTGATACATGGGTCTGGCTTGGCAAGCTGGATGGCCACCCTTGTGGGGGCTTGACACTTATGAACCCTGCCTGCCTTCCTAGGGGGGATTCACCCCTCTCCCTGCCCAGGAAGCTGCCCACCCTGCAGTGCAGGGGAGAGTGCACAATCCATCTCAGCCTGCCCAGAGCCCAGGGAGGGCAGGGCCCCCAGAGCCACACTCTTCTGGGGAAATAGGCACCATGCTGGAGAGGTGGGGCCTCTCCTTTCGCGACCCAGCAGCTGCTGTTGGTTACACCACAGCCCTGGGAGGACGGAGCCACGCAGGCTACACACACGCAGTGAGGCAGAGCCTTCGGCTCCCTGGATCCAGCCGTGACAACACCTGCCGTTCTGCAGGCGCCGTCTGTGAGTAACAGCACACCACTGCATGTACACGCATCGCAGTGCCGTGACACCTGCTTCAGGCTGTGCGGATTTGAAACCCTATGTTCAGGTCCTGAGTGACTTGAAGGCCTGGAAGAGACTCCCCAGCAGGCCAACCTCCACCCTTCTCCAGGGGGCAGGGGGAGCAGCCCAGCCTGTGGGGTGGGGGCGTGGTCGAGCCTGTGTTGGGGTTGTGGCTGCCCTTCCACATGTGGCCTGGAGATCCCCCAGCTGGAAGCACCCCACCCCTCTGCCTGCCACCTGATCTTTCCCCTTGGACACCCAGGCTTCAGGCTGTGAGGGAGGTGGGAGGTGACTATCAGATGGGATGAGGGCTAGGCTTGGGGAGGCAGCCCCTAATAAGGGGCACCTGGGGGCCTCCAGCTCAGCCAGCTCGTTGCTCATTTGCTGGGCTGGTTGGTGATAAAGGCTCTGCAGCCTTCAAACACCCGGGCGGGTGCGGCCCTGCAGGGTGACAAGGACTCTGGATGGAGGGTGGGGCCTCCCGGAGGCTGTTCCGGCCCCCTTTCAAGACAGCAGCCGACAGTCATTCTTTCAACTGAGCTGACGAGGGCCCCCCTGTCCACTTTTCTTCCTCAGGAAGTCAATACTGCAGTCCCACCCTGGTCATCCTGGAAGCCCGGGACAGACGAGTGTCCCTCAGCCCCACAAGCTGCTCTTCTGGGCTCTCCCAGCACTGCTGGCCAGGTACCAGGCCCTGGACTTGTGGTGACCCTGGCCATCAGAAGGGTGGGCCCCAGGCCTGTGCCCAGCCCAGGGCCCAACCAAGACCTGGGAATCTTTTCATCCCCGCTATGTTTACACATTTTTAATTAAGTCCCCCCAAGCCCACGCTTGACTGATGTGACATCCGCCCACTGAGAGTGAGAAACACCAAGACCACAGAGTAGCTTTATCTAAATTTGTATTTATTGTCAAAACTTTACCACGCTTCACACATGTAAATGAAATTACTGAAATTTCTGGCCAGAAAATCAACTTATACCTATGATTACAAAAGTCATGAAGGGGTTAAGAAGCACAAGCCGGCCGGGCATGCTGGCTCACGTAGTACCTGTAATCCCCGCACTCTGGAAGGCCAAGGCAGGTAGATCACCTGAGGTCAGGACTTTGAGCTGACCAACAAGGTGAAACCCCATCTACTAAAAAGACAAAAATTAGCCGGGTGTGGGGGCAGGTGCCTGTAATCCCAGCTACTCGGGAGACTGAGGCAGGAGAATTGCCTGAACCTGGGAGGCGGAGGTTGCAGTGAGCCGAGGTCTCGCCACTGCGCTCCAGTGAAGGAGCAAGACTCGGTCTCAAAATAAATAATTAAGCAGCAAAAGCCACCAGACCCAGAGTGCACACAGCACCCACCACACCTCCCTCCCGTCGGTGCACCTGGACGCACCTCCACTGTGCATGTAAGAAATGGACCCCACGGTGAGTACAGCTTCGAAGTCTGCAAAGACAGTTTCCAAAGAATGAGTCATAGATCCTCCCAGCCAGAGCCCAGACCCCAAAATCTCAGCCCTGCTTCCCCCGACGAGCACTGCCCCATTCCCCAGGCAGCTCCAGCACACAGGCCTGTCCCAGCACCTCCTGTTATGCGTCCACCCCTGTCTCCAGTCAGCCTGATCACGTGGCACAGCCCAGCTCCAGCCCTCCTCTCTTCCTGGGCCCCAGCTCGTGGACTGCGGAGATCAGCCCAAGGGAGAGGCCTGGGCCACATCCCGCCCCCCGACCCAGGCACTTCCAGGACCCACACAGAAGCACAGTCGCATGTTTGCCTAGTCCTGGACTATCTAGCCCCTTTCTGCCCCAAAGACACGGGGGTCAAGGCCCAGAGGCTCCCAGGCCGGGAGGGAAGGAGCAGGCGGAGTCGGCAGTCAGGACTCAGGTGCCGCGTGGAGGACCCACCGCCCCATCTTCCCATGCCCTATACCTCTTTAGGCCAGATCCTCAAAGAAGTATATGCATAGGAAGAAGGAACGGCGGGCAGCTCTGTGGGGCTGGCTCCTCAGCACCGGGGTGGCTGTCCTCAGGCAGGGTCCCGTGCCAGGCGGGAGGGAGAAGTCCGAGGCCTGGTGGGCGGTGGGCGCCGAGGTCCTGTGGGAGAGAGGAGGGCACAGCCAAGCCCGGGCCGGGTCCCCGGAGGCACCTTGGGCCCCAGCTTACCTTCAGTCCAGCCTCCTGGGCGGCCAGCGCTGGGTGGGCCATGAGCGCCGCTGAGCCTGGGTGGGTGGCAGAGAACTCTCCCGGCCAGAGTTCTGCTGCTGCCTCGCGAGCTCCACATTTATGCACAAGAGAGACCTTGGCTGCCACCGTCACATGCTGCCAGAATGCTGCTCTGTGCCAAGGACCCCGTCCCACCCCCACACCTGCCAGAGCAGGGCACAAAGACCTGCTGTGGAAGAGTGCTGACCCAGGGCCCGGCGGGTGGGCAGGCGGGGGCTGCGGGCCGGGGGCTGGGACGGGAGCTGGGATGGGGCTGGAACGGGGGCTGGGACAGGGCCAGCCTGGCCACCCGCCCTCCCCTAGCCCTTATCTCCTCGTGCTCCTCTGCATGCGTCAGGGGCTGGAAAGCACATGTGGGGGAGAATCGTTTGTCAGGGAAGGGGCCATCTCTCCCTCCTGGGCCTGCTCAGCTCAGCAATAAGAGTACCTCAGGCTCGGGCTCACGGGGGCTCCCAGAACCCCCAGCCAGCACGCCCAGCACTGTCCCAGTTACCGAGCACCAGACCCCACCCCCAGGGCAGGTGGTCTCCACGGTTGGGGCCCCCCGAGAGTCCATAGCATCAGGCAGACGCTGGTCCAAACAGGCCCAGAGCTTTCCCTGGCCCACAGAGCCCCCAAGAACGTGGAGAGGGGCCGGGCTCTGCAGCCTTGAGGGCAAGAGTGCAGGGCCAGAGGGAGAGGCCCCCCAGGGACAGCAGGTCAGACGCACAGCTGCCCACACAGAGTGAGACCACACAGGCAGGCAGATACCCTCTCCCAGGGCCAGGAAGCCCCCGGCCAAGGGGCCCAGGTAGGCAGCAGAGTTCCTGCAGGCTGCCCCCGTGTCCCAGGCTCAGGACACAGGGAAGAGGCCCAAAGATACCCCGGGAGTCCAGGGGATGGGGCTCCTGAACCCCGGCCAGAGACACCCTGCCTGCAGGAGTCCAGGGGACAAAGATTCTCAGCCCGGCCAGTGGCCTCTCCCCAGGATGTGGGCAGATGGAGGCTGGTGAAGGAGCAAGGCTGAGGCCTTGGAGGCGTCTGCAGTGACCAAGTTCTCCGGGAGACTCAACGTCCCTGGGCAGCCTGTGCAGGCTCCTGGCTCCAGCACCTGTGACCTGTAGGCCCAGGGTCTCAGAACTGGCCCCACACAGCACCCACTTGTGGCAGGGACACACACAGAGACACACAGAGATGGAGACACATACGGACAGACACAGACTCACAGTGACACAGAGATACACACAGAGACACACGTAAACAGACACTCAGACACACAGATACAAAGACACACACAGACACATAGATACACACATAGACACACAGAGATACAGACAGATG